TCCATTCCTAGAACTAGGGGTAGGGAGAAGCAAATCCTCCTATCATGATTGATAGTTTTGCTTTGCTTTTGGGAAATTTGTCTAGGTTACTTTTTTTGGGTATACTTGTTCATTTGCCTTGTTTGAGTCATGTATGCCTTGTGAGTGGGCTCCCAGCGCCCACTCACTAAAACATTTGTATCATCTTTTTCTTTAATGAGATTTCTATTTTGGTGGAAACTATATATATATATATATATATTATGTATTTATTTATAATTACATTACACAAAATGGTATGTGTATATATTTATGCATTTATATTTAGATCTATTTATAAATCTTAGATGGTGTATAAGGATTAAAGGAAGTGATAAGGGGGTTATAAAGTGCAAGATAATGAAGAATCAATGATTGAAAATCCTCCGTTATTGGCAGTTGCAAAATGACTATTTAGGGCGATATAATAGGAAGAAAGAGGGGCGTAGAGGGCATAGGAGCTCTTTTGGAACCTTAAAAAAATCCATCGCCTATTCTCAATTAGATTATATACTCACCACCTGAAAGGGAAAGTGGATACAACACTTAGGGTTTATTTGGAGTGTCAACGAGAGTGCGACGCGGCGCCGCGCCGGGCCGCGATTTATGGTTGTTTGGGGCAGCGACAAGGTTGCGGCCTGCCGGGATATTAGTCGAACGCGGAAATCCAGAACCGACCCACGTCCCAGCTTCGTGTTTCGCCTTTTTACCCCAAAGCCCCGTTCTGCCTTTCTACCCCGTCCGAAACAAATCAAACCACAGGCAAAAAAAATTGCATGCGATGAGCTTCTCCCCTCTCCTCTTCTCCGAAGGTCCTCCTCTCACGCAGTCGCTTGAGGCGTTGTTGCTTAAGGGATCTTATTTCTGTGCAAGGTGCTTAAGGGATTCTACTTTTCGGATACGATGGTGGAGCAACTTGGACTTAAGCTTCTGCAAGTAACCGTCACAGCTAGTTTCATTGGTTGAGGATATGTGGATGCTTTGTTTTTCTTTTTGCTTCTTTTTAATAGAACTAAGGAAATCTGAGCTAAAGATTCTCATTTCTTTCAGCTTTTCTACATCTCCAAGCAACACTTGGGGCGTTCCAGTGAGTTATTTGCAATTTAGCCAAAGTTATAATTTGTCTTTGTTTCTTTTCTTTTGTTTGACCTTGATTTGAATTATGTGTATATTATGATGTTATGTATAAATTTATCAGTGCTATTTATTTTTTTTCTTTTTTTTCCTTCACAAACTAATCAGAAGTTCTCTATGAATGAAAGGAAATAAGCCCAATTTATATTTTTTTGTCAGTATATGGTGACGATACCAAAAGCTAAATAACTTTCAGGTTAACTGAGAATAATTACTTGCTTGGGAATTGCAATCCTGTTTTCATGGTAATTTATTTGTTTAAGATGTTAGAATTGTAGAAGTCTATGATTGCAAGGGTGGGTGAGTTTTCTAAATTTTGCTCTACCTGGGTCTTGTGCGGCTATTTCCATTGGGGCTTACTTGGGTTGTAGGTGCTGTCCATATTTTGAGACAAGGGTGTAAGCTTTGCAAACTGAATCACAAGGTTTATGTGTAAATACATAAAAATTGTGTTGAATCTGCTCTTTTTTGTTTTATTTAATATAATCTTTACTTATATCTTATTTCCGGGACATCCCGACGCATTCTCTGCCACTGTGACCTCCAAACTTCTCTGCTGACGTCGCGTCGGCCACACAGCTATGACAGAAAGTTCTACAACTGCCCACGGAGCATAGCCAATTCTTTCGTAAGACTTCCAAAATATATCCAAATACTCGTAAAACTTCAAATTTTATGTGTTAGATATGTAAATACATAAGATTGTGTTGCATATGTGTTCTTAATTTTAAACAGAAGTTGTTTGCACTTTGGGGGCTTGCACTTTGGGGTGCACTTTGGGGGCTTAGTTAAGTTCCAAAAATATGATTGTTATACTCTTTTTTTAAATTGTTTTACTGAACATGGGCAGTATGGTCTTTTTTCCATAAATAACTGTCCGACAGTTGGTTTCACACAGCTGCACCAAACAGACAACCAACTTTCCCGGAGCTGCTTTCTCGCAGCAGCTTCCTGGGGCAGCGCAGCTGCAGCTGAAAAGCTGAGAAGCTGCAAGGCTTTGGCTCTGTTTGGGGCAGCTGCAGCTTCTCAGCTTTTCAGCTGCAGTCAGGCTGCTGTTTATGGAAAAAAGATCATACTGTCCTTGTTTGGTAAAACAGTTTAAAAAAAGAGTATAACAATCATAATTTTGGAATTTCAGTAAGCCCCAAAGCGCAAACAACTTCTGTTTAGGATTAAAAACACATAAAATAGAGAAGTCTAACATCTTAGACAAATAACTTACCATGAAAATAGGATAGCAATCCTTCAATGCATGATTTCACATCAAAGAAAATTATAGAAGCTAAACGAAACTAGAAAAGAAAGCATAAGTATGCAATTCTCCATAAGAAATATACACAGAGTTTGTTTCAAAGGACTACAACTGCCTGCCAATACTATGGTAAAATATTCATGAAATTTTCAAAAAATAGCTCAGATCTTTTTTTTCCTGAAAAATAAGCCAACGACCTTTTCAAGCTGGCAAGTTCTAGCATTTCATAAAAAACAGATAAAAATTACAATCAAATAGAATTATGGTTCTAATTTTTAATGAGTTTTCTTTCGAGAGCGAAGCAACACTAATAAATTTATACATAACATCATAGTTCTGATCTCCATAAGTATGCGAATATACAGATAATTCAAAGTCAGGTCAAACAAAAGAAAAGAAACAAAGACAAATTATAATTTTAGCTAAATTGCAAATAACTCACTGGAATGCCCCAAGTTTTGATTGGAGATGTAGAAAAGCTCAAAGAAATGGGGAATCTTTAGCTCAGATTTCCTTAGTTCTATTAAAAAGAAGCAAAAAGAAAAAAAAAGACATCCTTATGTTCTCAAGCAATGACACTAGCTGTGGCGGTTACCTGCAGAAGCTTAGGTACAAGTTGCTCCACCATCGCATCAGAAAAGCAGAATCCCTTAAACACCTTGCACATAAATAAGATCCCTTAAGCACCAACGCCTCAAGCGGCTGCGTGAGAGGACCTTCGGAGAAGAGGAGGAGAGGGGAGAAGCTCGTCGCATGCGATTCTTTTTTGCCTGTGGTTGGATTTGTTTCGGATGGGGTAAAAAGGCGGAACGGGGCTTTGGGGTAAAAAGGCGGAACACGAAGCTGGGAAGCGGGTCTGTTCTAGCTTTCCGCATTTGACGAATATTGCGGCAGGCCGCAGCCTTGCCGCTGCCCCAAACGACCGTAAATTGCCGCTAGACGCCGCGCTGCACTCTTGCCGCCGCTCCAAACAGACCCTTAGTCTCCACTATTTACTTCTTTCAATGCACCCTACTCTGTAAAATATATTACTCATGTTTGGGTAGTTGGATGCAATGTGTCCTGGACATTCATGACACTTGAAATACTTTATGACTTGGAATGTCTTGGGGGTGCTAGTCCGATCAGTTTTTTTTTTCCAGTGTTGGCTTTTCCTCATGAGTGGCAGTTCTTGATGCTTTGGTCGGTGTGCTCGTGGTGTCCGAACAGACCAAGCCTATGTCCATATCTTATTTGAAGGGTGAAATAAACATGATGTGCTATTGTGCCTTTTCGCCTTCAAGACTAAGGTCTATATACCTTACAATGCCTGATTGGGTTGTAAAAACATCACATTACTAATAGAATGTTACTGTCTTCGAATATACTGGCTATGGTGTTCTCTTATGGTTCTACTTATTCACACTTAAGCATGAGTTGTTTAAATTCAACTGTGTACGCTACTGATAGGTCCTTATGCTGTAAATAATGAATTCTCAGGAATATATTATTTTTGTAGTGTAATAGAAGATATTTGCGTTGCATTTCATTTTTCATCTTGGACTAGGCTGTGATCTCGCTTTTTCCATCACACTGGTGCATGCTATTTAAGTATTCTATTACAAGCAAGCACTCATCAACTTTACGGCAGTTAGTTTCATTTTTTTGTCAGGTGGAATATCATTGCACTGGAAGACTTGTTCTGCAGTCTGGAGCCATTCAACGAATTTTTCTGGAGCTATATGACCTTTAAAATTCAGCAAATTAACATTCTCGTTAAAGTCATATTTTCTCCTTTTATACTGAATGTTGAATTGACTTGACATCGATTCTTTGTCGTTTGATACCCTTGGTGAAAAAGGTTTTTCATCATCTTCTCCATCTGATGGTTTTTGTGACCGACTTTTTCTTGTTGTATTCTTTCAAAATCAACAAGCCTCTGTTGCAATTGAATGATATTTTGTTGCATGTTTCTAAACTTTTATGAGGGTTTCTCTTTAGCGACATGCCGACTTGTTGCTTCTTTGGGATTTCGTCTAGGGTAGAATTGTGGATCTAAGGTTGGCCGAAGGCTTAAGTTCAAGCGGAGGTTGTAGGGACGGTTTTTTTTGGTGGAGGTAATAAAGTTAGGTTTTGAAGTTTTAGGGTTAGTGTTAAAAATTTAGATTATGATTTGACTCTGATATCTCTTTAAAAGGTTTCTCCTCATATTGCTCATCTTTCCAAGGGTTTGTCCTCACATTTGAACAAAAGGTTTCTCCTCATATTTGATCTTTTTTTTGTGCTCATCTTTCCAAGGGTTTGTCCTCACATTTGAATTTATTTTTGTGCTTATACTGTATTCATCCATTTGTTTTTTGCATTTTCTCAGCACGATGATCATAAATTAATGCAGTTGTTAAAAAGTGTATTTTCTATTGTCTGGACTTCATTTTCTTCTTAACAGATTCCATTTTTCATTGTTTTTGGGACAAAGGCATAATTTAGTTTTTTAAATTACGGGCTTTCGCATATTATGAAAATTGAATTTGTTCGAATTGGCCACACAACAATTTGCATATTTTGAAAAAGACCATCTATCTTTATTCCATGCATTAAGTTTTCTGCATTTCTCCAGTCTGTGGAGTTTAGGGATATTGTGAAGATTGGGCGAACACATACCCAGGATGCAACTCCTTTAACTCTTGGACAAGAGTTCAGTGGATATACAACACAGGTATCGTATTGAACAGTACCATAGAATAATGCCTTTTATTGATATCTATATCTTTTTTATTGGGTAATGTGGCTTTCTTAAATAACTCCGTTTTGATTTAAACGCTCTTCTTGTAGGTCAAATATGGAATTGCTCGGATAAAGGACACTTTGCCACGCATGTATCAGGTAAACATTCCGAGCTAATGTGTTTTAGCAAACTATGGAACTAAGTTATTACTGATCTGCACCTTGAACAGCTTGCACAAGGTGGTACTGCAGTGGGAACAGGATTGAATACGAAAAAAGGGTAGGCTTCGATGAATTTGCGATTTCCACCCTCTTTTTCATACAAATCTTTAAAGTGCTTTATTTTGCTTCCATTTTGTTCATGAACTTTCCATGAGATTAGTTATGCTTTACACGATAGTTTGATGTGCATAACTAGGTTAATTTTTTGGGGCTTTTACATACATACCACACAATTTCTATGTATCTAAATATCCAACTCCTAAACATTGCTTTTTAACATTTATACCACCCAAATCGTTCGTATCACATAAAAAATACAACTATTTTAACTTTCTAAAAGTGAAATACACTTTTCATGCATAGATAAGGCAATATGCATGTAAAATTGAAGTTTAGGTGTTAGATATGTAAATACATTAGAATTGAGTGGTATGAATGTAAAACTTCCTTACTATTTTTGTTATTTGCGCTCGACGGGTCTTTTGCTTTTGTGTTTGTAGCTTCTTTTCGTCCAACCAGTTTTTATTTCATAGTTACATGCATTTTCAGGTTTGATGTAAAGATTGCAGCGGCAGTTGCGGAGGACACTAATTTACCTTTTATTACAGCAGAAAATAAATTTGAAGCATTGGTTAGCATCTTGCCTTTTCATTATCTTTTTTAAGAAATTGTGCAGAATATTGCTTTTCTGTAGGATAGTGATCCCTTTTTTGTGTTATTGGACTTAACAACAATCTAAGTGCACAATTGGGTATTAATGAATGCGGTTTTATACAAAAATTGCTTTTCATATTTATTGGGGTCATTAATCTTGGATCTTTGGCAGACTTTACCTCATAGCTATGTGATCATGTGCACAAGCTCCTGGAATTAACTGTACTTCCGTTAACTTTTTGCTTCATGCTTGGGTAATTGGAATAGGGCTGATAATAAACACTATTTAGTTTCTTATAATATATGGATTTAGTAGGAAGATCCGGTCCAAAGAGAGTTTTGGTTGTGACTGTATCATTAGGAGCTCTAGAAACATATTAAATAATTGCATTCAGTCTTTAGAGGTTCTTTCATTTTTAAAATTTTATCAACGGACCTATTTTTCCTTTTTTTTTTCTTTTGTAAGGGGAGCCTTGTAATTATGGTTTGCCTCAGTATTACTAAGGTAGGCTAATGTACTTATTACCCAATCCACTTGGAGAGAAGAAAATTTTTGAGTAGTTTTGTTTTAGATTTCTTTTGTTTTGGGGTGGATTCCCCTCTTTTGGGTGGAAGTTGGTGAGGGAATGTGTTTGTAGTGGAATCCATAACTCTTCCACCATAAATGGCTAGGCTCCCACATCTTCTTTTGGCAGCTATCAAGGGGGCCGTAGCAACGGCTCCTGCACCAAGAAGTCGTTTAGACAACTGTAATTAGGAGGAAGTATCCTTGTTCAATTGACGTGCGAGGGAATTCAGCAACTGTTGTTTAGTTCTTGGCTTCTTGTGTCCAGGAGTTAAAGGCAGTTGAGCGGACAGGGATCCTCTGGTTCAGTTCAGAGAGAAAATAGGGATAATTCTTGAAACAGTTTCTTCCTTTGGTTTTTCAGTTCACGGATGTGGTTTGCTGATGTTATCACTGCTCTTCTTTATGGGTTTTTAAATTAAAAACAGCCTCCACAACAACAACAACAAGCCTTATCCCACTAAATGGGGTTGGCTACATGAATCTTTTTTTCATTGTGTTCTATTGAGTGTCATATTTTCATTTACTTCTGTCTTTCTTAACACAAGTTGAATCTAAAACATCTACTCTCCTTATCATATCATTAGATGGTTGAAGATTAATCTAACCAAACCATCTAAGATGACTCTCTCTTATCTTATACGCCACTGGAGCTACTCCAATCCTGTCATGGATATATTCATTCACATTTTGTCTTTAAGTGTCAAGCCACTCATCCACCTAAGCATTCTCATCTCAGCAACACTTAACTTTACTTTATGCTTCTCTTTTAAAAGGCAACATTCTGCGCCATAGAGCATTGCAATCTCACCCCCATCTTATAAAATTTTCCGTTAAGTCTAAGTGGTATTTTTCTATCACACAATTGGCCAGATGTATTCCTTCACTTCAACCAACCAACTTGAATTCTACTAATTACATTCCCCATCTATATCACCATCACTTTGAACAATAGACCCGAGATATCTAAAACGTTCACACCTTTTAATGATTTGATTACCCATAGTTACAACTCTACCACTAGAATTACCACTACTAAAATTACACTCCATGCATTTAGTTTTAGGTCTACTCAAACGAAGACCTTTATACTCCAATGCAGACCTCAACAATTCAAGTTTTTTCTGAAATCTTTCTCTAGTCTTATTCACAAGAAGTATATCATCAACGAAAAGCATACACCAAGGTACATCGTTATGTAAATGTCCAATATGAGCATCCATAACTAAATTAAAAAGATATGGACTTAAAGCCTATCCCTGATGCAATCCAACTAAAATAGGAAAATACTTGGTCAATCCTCTTGTTCGACAATAATATAAATAGCTTGAATGACTTGAATATAATTCATATCAACACTTTTCTTCTTTAGCACTCTCCAAAGGACTTCTCTTGGAATTTTATCTTAGGTTTTTTCTAAAACCATAAAAAGCATATGTAGGTCCTCCTTACTCTCTCTATACTCCAACAAACTTCTCAATAAATGTATATCTTCCATAGTAGATCCTCCGGGCATAAATCCAAACTGATTATGAGAAATCTTTGTATCACGTCTTAACCTGTTCAATTAGACTCTCATAATTTTAATGTATGACACGTCAACTTAATTCATCTATAATTTGAACACTCGTGCATCCTCTTTTTTCTTAAAAATGTGGACCAAAATACTTTTCCTCCACTTCTCAAGCATTTTTTAGTTTTTAAAATAATATTAAAGAGTTTAGTAAGTCAAGAAACTCCTAATCTCTTAAATATTTTCACACTTAAATTTGAGATATCATCAGATCTTATTGTTTTTTCACTCTTGGTTTTTTTAAAGTTTCCTCAATTTCTTTTTTTAGTAATTCGATGATAAAAATAAAATATTTTATTATTATTAATGATATTAAGATCACTAAGATTGGTCATATTTTTAGAAATTTTATTAAAAAACTCAGCAAAATAGCCCATTCATCTATTTTGATTATCTTCGTCTAAGAAACAACACTTTTTGATTTTTATCTTTATTACGCTTGAATTAAATCTTTAATTTTCTTTTTTCTTTGTTTGACTAGTTTCTACATATATTTTCACCCTCTTTAGTATCTAATTTATTATAATGATCGCTAAAAACATATCTTTTTTAGTCATAAATTTTTCTTTTATTCCCTACGGGCCATCTTATATTTTTCCCATTTCTCTAAGTTTTTACATTTAAACCAATTTTAATAACATAATTTCTTATATTTTATTTTTTCTTGCACATTATTATTCCACATCTAACTATTTTTATTTATAAAAATTTTTTCTTTTGAATCTCCAAGTACATTTTTTTGTCACTTGTCTAATAGTGCATGTTGATTTATCCCATATACAATTCGCTTCTTCATGTACCATCCCAAATATTAAATCTTAAAGTTTACTCATAAAAGTATTTTATTCATCTTTTAGGTTTCCCCATCTAATTCTATAACAATATTTCTTTGTATTCTTTATCTGTCAACTTCTCATCTTAAAATTCAAAACTAATAATCGATGTTGAGTACTTAAATTTTCACTTGGAATGACCTTACCATATTTACATTTTCGATGATTTCTTTTTCTCATACGAAAATAATCAATATATTTTATTTGATTCATTCTTATAAGTAATAATATGCTCTTCTCTTTTGTTAAATAAAATATTAGAATAATAAAATCATATGCTAAAGCAAAATCAAATATGATTTTACCTTCATTTATCACTCCAAAACCATAGTCACCATGAATATTTCTAAAAACTTTCAATACTCTACCAACATGTGTATTTAAATTTTCTCCAATAAATTTTTTTTAAAGTTTTATTATTTGTATTAATTCTTCTAGGTCATTCCAAAAATTTTCTTTTGAACCTATATCTAAATCCACTTGAGGAGCATAAATACTTAGAACTTAAAAATTCTTAGTATCAACAACAATCTTTAGGGCTATAATTTTATCTCCGATTCTATTAATTTTTACAACATTATCTTTCAAACTCTTATCTATAATTCTACACCTATATCATTTCTAGTGCGACTCCTACCTGAATACCAAAGTTTAAATCTTAGAATTTTCACCAACCTATTTACTTTTTTGAATACATAAGATGTTTATTTTTCTATGAACTGTAATATATACTAATTTCATTAATTGACTTGTTAGAGTATCTATATTCCAAGTTTTATTCTAATATGAGTTTAATGGACTATACTTTTGCCTGCATCCGTCTGTAATGTGATAACCCTGACTTATTTGACACTACATCCAGATGTCGGTGTAGCGGTCCTTGCACATTATTCACTGTATTAAGACCATACAACGGATCACTTTCAATGGACGTCTTAGCATTTACACAAAAAGTGCTAAACATTCAATCCAAAGGTGTTAAAACAAAAGCTCACTGCATATTTAAATGTTCAAAGCAAAAATATAGAGATAAACAATAGAATAATAAATAAAAGAGCCTGAATAGGAAAATTGGACTCCAGCCAGCCAAAGAACAATGAACTGATCCATCTCTAGACCGGTCTTTGCCTCAGTTTCCCTGGGAGGTGGAACGTGTGATGTCCACATCATTATCTCATGGTTGTGGATGTAAAAAGGAAAAAATATATATATATATATATGCTTTAGCTTTGTGTCATTTTCTGCACATGGTCTTTTAATCAATGATTTAATGACTTTATTGCGAAAAATTGATGATAGATCCTAGTTATAAATTAGATCCTTCCTTCTATAAGCTTCCTTGACATTTGTTACACTAATTTGGTGAGTGCCACACTGTTGTCTTTTTAGGCTTGTTGATGAATTGAAAATTCAGACATACGTTTTGTGTAACCTGTAAAAGTTGTACCCTACATTCTTTACTTTACAATTCTTTCGGAGTCCCTACATCCACATTATCTTCTTTACAAGTTTTTCAATTTCCTAATGATTTTCATTATTTCTTTTGCACTTTCAAAATATATAGTGATATCTATGTCCTCGTGTTTCATAAGAATATGATATGCTAGCATGTGATGAACTTGCAATTCTTATAATTTCTTGCACCTTGCGTCTTGTTGCTTAAAAAAAACAATGATCTATAAGGCTGTACAATTTTTTATTCTGGAACTGCCTTTTTTTTTTAATCATGTTTGAGATTAGCTTTGTAAGGAAGATGGTAGAGAAGGGAAGGGGAAAGGGGAGATTTTAAAATAAAAGACCTAAAAACTTGTTCTGTAACCTGGACTCTAATTCACGTCAAGTTTCACTCAACCATGGGAGATATAAATGCAAAACGTTTTTATGAGATTTGGTATTAGGATTCTATGCCTATATTTTTTGAGATCTGGCATCTCAAGCACTAGTCCAATGCTTCTATCATAAAAGATTGTGATACAAATTATAATTGAGATAACTGCTAACAAGCTTTCTTATTATTATTTTTTTTTTTTGTTGTGATCTAGCTAAATTATGTATGAACTTTAAATGAAGGCATATTTTGAAGAAAAAAATTGATGAAAATAAAGCGGAGTGATACTTTATCTGGTTATGAATTTGCATCTACATGATTTTAGAAACGTGTAACTTTTTTTGAATCTTATTGTTTAGAACCGTGTTTATAAAAATCAATATTGTTTAGTTTTAGTTAATGATATTTCAATTTTTTGTTTTGTATTCTCTCATTAGTAGAATCATGCACTAGATAAGACGTTTATTCAACTTTATATTCTGATTAAAGGAATACAATACAATTATAGTCATTTATCTTGTTTTAAAAATAATAGATGTACTTTTATTCACATCTGATATTTTTTATATTGTTTGGCATCCAGAAGTTTACCTGACAGGGCTTTGTTGACCTAACAGTTTTATAATTAAAATGTGTAGGCCTTAGATATGCAAATTTTTTGAGGTTTGAGCTAAATTTATGATGTGTTATATTTTAAGAGTGCATCATTGTCTACTGTCTAACCCCTGCTTCGACTTCCATGACATCAAAACTAATCACCAGATTGATTTATTCAATTGGTCCTGTATGGACATATACTTGTTTATTAGAAAACTTCTTCTGATTCTGAAGTTTAGAAAACGACAATAATGTGTTTGATGGTGCATTTTATCTGAAGAAATGCAAGTCATTATTCATTTCATGTGATGAAGCCGGTTGTGCCCTTCTCATTGAAATGCTTTTGAGGATGAGAAACGTATTTGTGCAGTTACTAATTGGTAATTTCTTTTAAAATAATGTTTGTTTATGTTTGATAGTGTTATTTATGATGCACTTTCTTTGTTTGTATTCGAGGTCTTCTTTTTAAAGGTTTTTATTTTATTTTATTTATGACATGTCATTCACTAAGTCTGGCAGGCAGCACATGATGCCTTTGTAGAGAGTAGTGGAGCCTTAAATACAATTGCAACTTCTCTTATGAAGATTGCAAATGATATTCGGCTTCTTGGAAGGTAATTTTCTCTACAAATCGTAGGACTTTCTTTCGATAACTGAAATATCAATCATACATACATTTATTCCTATACTGCTTCTAAGTTTTTGTGCTTCTTGAAAACTTATTTAGTGGACCTCGGTGTGGACTTGGTGAGCTGATTCTGCCTGAAAATGAGCCCGGCAGCAGTATCATGCCTGTATATACCTTTTGCATGAACCCTATTAATTAAACTTTTGGGAAACTTGCATATGCAGCACAAAATTCTTTTTATTTTATTTTTTTTTTGCATTTCTCACACCTAAACTTTTTATATTTACATGCGTAGCAATTTGGTGCTTTAAACTTATGAACTAAAAGGTGTATTTCACTTTGATAAAGTGCCGATAGTGTTATTTTTTATGCGATATTAATTACTTGAGTGCTTTTGTGTGTACATATAAATATGAAATTTTAGGTGTGATATATTTAAATACATAAGAATTGTGTGCTATGTATGTAAACCCCCCTAAATTTTTTCCACTTTTTCTGCGCTTGCATTTGAAGTGTAACCCAGGCAAACTATTTTGGTTTGAAATTAATTGTTATTGCAGATATAATTGTGGCACTTATTTTTTATTGCAGGGAAAGGTTAATCCTACACAATGCGAAGCACTCACCATGGTTTGTGCTCAGGTAAGTTTCTCTTCTTTTCTAGTACCATATATAAGATGGATTCGCTATCTAGCCCTCTATTGTGGAAGGAGAATGCTAAATACCCTGTTGAGGCCAGTGAGTCAACATGGAGTCTATTTTCTTTGATATTGTTTGATTTTATTGTTGATGTTTGTGCTGATGCAGAAAATTCTCTTGTCAATTGATATTTTGGGTGTTCTTCAATTTGTTATCTTAGAATTCGCTAGAACACAGGGATGCTAAAGGTTGTTCTTTATGTTAGGAGTGCAGGATCGAACAAAGCTCAATAGATTAATATACCTGCTTTTTGCTGCTATTAAAAAAGATTAAGAGGTTGATTTCAGCTCTAGCTCTCTAGGGTGCAGTTGTTTTCTTTATTTAAAGTTTAAATCAATCATTCTTTCTTCCATCTTTTTATTTGAACTTCTTTCTATTATGAATATGGTTTTTCCTTGTGCAAGAGAGCCTGTGTGCTTTTCTCCTTTTTTCTGCTCCTTATTTCTTACTTAGAACTCCTTAGTTCTGTCAAGAGGTGTATCTGATACCCTCCCAACTATACAAATCCATAAATTTCCAGAGCTTTCATTTTGGCCATTCCTGTTATCCTCTTTGCGTCCATTGCAAGGAAGATTTTCTTATATTTCTATACTTCTGCGTCATTTTTGAATGGACAAGCAGTATCACAACTTTGAAAATTAATATTGACTTGTTCACAGCATTTCCTAAAAAGGTCAGTTGAAGTAGAACTTTTACTGTAGGATGCTGTCTCTCACGCTAACAAACATCCGAGTTGACATTCATTGCACGTTGACGGGTTCAGCATGTGCGCCATTGTGTTGAACACCTGCTAGGCCTTAATGTTGCTCCCTTGTGATCACTCATTGTCTCACTAGTTCATGCTCTCTCAACTCCTCAGTCGTATCCTTGCACGGCAGCGTTGTTTCCTGCTCTTGATGTTTCTTTGAACTGTGGGTTGCTCTCGCACAATATGGCCCCTAAATGCACCTTGTTGGCGATATGACTGATGTTTTCACCTTTTGTTGTGGGACATTATCTACTTGGTGTAGATGCATGCGCCATCTTCATCCTCAACACCTAAGGTGTAACGTTCCGTTTTTATTAACTTGGGAGAGGAAACGAGGAAACCAAAGGAAAGAAAGTGAGGAGTGGTGCAGTCAAAAGAGGGAGAGGAATCGATCAGATGTGAAGCTAAAGAGGGGGTGGTGAAGCGAGGAGTTGAGAAACTGAATGTTACTTTCGTTCTATAATGGAACGCGCTCGATTGAAGCAAATGTGAGATTGGCTTTCCTTGGAATCAGGTAGCGTGCGATGGAAACTTTTCTGGGAATCAGGTAGCATGCGAAGGAAAGGAGGATGACGTGGGAGGAGGCGGCCTTCTGTGTAAAGCAAAGAAGGCATCAAGCAACTCTCGTGTTGTGTGAAGGTAGAGACGACGTCAAGACGCTCTCGCAACGTCGTCGTGCTTCGAGCGGGCTAGGCGAGTCAGGTGCAAAGGAGGGAGACGAAGCGAGGCAGTTGTCGCAGCTCTGTGGAAAAGTCCTCATAAGATTCAATCTAGCGTGTAGAGAGGAAGAAAGGAGAATAAGAGTTGAGCTCATTGTGGTAGGGAGAGACGAAGTTGAGCCCTCGTGCTTAGGAAGAAGACAGTCGTGTGGGGGGATTAGGGCTTGATCGAGGACGGTAATGTTTATTAAATTGATTTAATAATAAAAATTAATAATAATAATAATAATAATAGTAAGACGTGTGTGCGTGTTGAATAGAAATTAAACAGGATTACATAAAGTAAATTTAATACTTAAATAATGAAAAACTGATAGTTGTTTATGATAGTAAATTAATTAAATTTTATACCATATTTATTTTAGACTTTCAATTCTTAGAAGAATCGACTTCAAGACAAATTAACCGACATCAAGATGAGTATTCATATTTTTTTATTATGGTAATATTTTGTTTCTTCTCGACCAATGTATTTTTTGTTACTGTTATATTTATGCATACCCATGATTTATGATTCTATTAAATTTTGTTCATATTGTAAGAATGACCAGTGTGCTCAGTTTTGTTTAAATTATCACAAATATTTAATCTTGTATAAGTATATTGATTGTTTCAAATATGAGAATGAAATATTATTATTATATATTTGTATGTGAAAAGTGAAGGGTTGCATTAGGTAGTCCACAACCATCGTAATTTATCAAAAAATCATGATATGAATTCTTTTGATTATTGTTTAAATTTTTGGTTGACCGTTGGAAGCGACGTGCTGTATTACATGAATGCAGTGAAAAGTGTGCAAGGTTCGATACACCGGCTCCCGGGCGTAGTGTCAAATAAGCAAGAATTCTCGCATTATGGTCGGATGCATGTAAATAAGTTAGTCAATGAAATTAATACTAGAATAAGATGTTGGAATATTAGTACTCTCTCACAGATAAATTTGAAAATAGTTGATATTATGGTTCATAGAAAGAAAATTATCTTATGTATTCATGAAACTAAATGGGTTGGAGAAAAGACTAAGGAGATTGATAACTTAGATTTTAAACTTTGGTATTCAGGTAAGTGTCGCATTAGAAATAGTGTAGGTATAATTATAGATAAAGGTATGAAAGATAATGTTGTAAAAATTAATAAAATTAGAGATAAAATTATAGCTCTTAAGATTGTTGTTGATGCTAAGATTTTTAATATTATAAGTGTTTATGCTCCACAATTAGGTTTAGATATAGGTTCTAAAGATAAATTCTGGAATGATTTAGAAGACTTAATACAAATGATACATTTTGAAGAAATAATTTTTATTGGAGGAGATTTAAATTGCCATGTCCGTAGAGTGGTAGAAGATTTAAAAAAAATTCATTTTGGCTACTGTTTTGGAGTGATTAATGAAGAAGATAGAGTCATATTAAATTTTGTTTTAACGTATAATTTTGTTAATACTTTATTCAAGAAAGAGATAGACATATTATTACTTATAAGAATGAATCTAATAAAACACAAATTGATTATTTTCTTATGAGAAGAAGAGATCGTCGAGAATGTAAAGATTGTAAGGTCATTTCAAGTGAGGATTTAAATACTCAACATCAATTATTAGTTCTAGTTTTTAAATTGAAGAGTTGTAAAATAAAAAATAATAAAAATTATTATCGTAGAATTAGATTGGGGCACGTAAAAGACAGATAATTTTTTTTTAGTAAACTTCAAGTATTTAAGATTTAGGATGTTTATGAAAAAACAAATTCTATGTGAGATGAAATAACAAAAACTATTAAACAAGTGACGAAAGATGTACTTGGAGAATCAAAAGAAAAAATTTCTCAAAATAAAAATTTTTGATGGTGGAATAATAATGTACAAGAAAAGATAAAATATAAGAAGTTATGCTATAAAAATTAGTTTAAGTGCAAAATCTTAGAGAACTAGGAAAAATATAAAATGAACCATAGAGAGTTTAAGAGAACAATTTGTAATGTTAAAATTTTTGCTTTTAGTGATTTTTATAATATATTAGGTACTAAAGTGAGTGAAAAATATATGTATAACTAGTTAAATAAAGAGAATAAAAGTAAAGAGTTAACTTTAGTAAAGTATATTAAAAATGAAAACAATAAAGTCCTTTTCTTAGAAAGGATATTCAACATAGGTGGGTTGGTTATTTTGATATACTTTTTAATGAAGTTTCTGAAAATACGATCGATCTTAGTGATCTTAATAACATTAATAATAATAAAATGTCTCATTTTTATGGTCACATAAGTAAAAAAAAAAGTTGAGGAAACTTTAAAGAAAATCGAGGTGGAAAGTCTGTAGGACCTGATGATATCCAATTGAAGTGTGGAAGTAAATAAGAGATTTGGAAGTTTCTGGGCTTCCTAAACTCTTTAATATTATTTTAAAAACTAGAAAGATACCCAAGGATTGGAAGAAGAGTATTTTGATCCCTATTTTTAAGAATAAAGGGGATGCACAAAAGTGTGCAAATTATAGAGGAATTAAGTTGATGTTTCATACTTCAAAATTATGGGAGAGGAGAGGGTAATTGAACGTAATTGAACATAGGTTAAGACGCATTACAAAGATTTCTCATAATCAATTTGGATTTATGTTTAGCAGATCTACTGTGGAAACTATACATTTATTGAGAGGTTTGATGGAGATGTTCAAAAACATTGAGGGTTTACATATGATTTTTATTGATTTAGAAAAAACTTACGATAAGATTCCAAGAAATATCCTTTGGAGAGTTCTAGAGAAGAAATGTGTTGATATGACTTATATTCAAGTCATTAAAGATATGTATACTAGAATTGTTACATGTGTTCGAACTGAAGGAGAATTGACCAAATATTTTTCAATTTCAGTTGGATTACATCAGGGATCGACTTTAAGCCCATATCTTTTTGCTTTATTTATGAATGCTTTTACTGGATATTTACAGGAGGATGGACCTTTGTGTATGCTTTTCGCTGATGATATCCTTCTCGTGGATAAGATCAGAGAGAAAGCTCAGGAAAAAATTGAATTATGAAGGTCAACATTTGAGTCTAAAGGCCTTCGTATGAGTAGAATTAAAACTGAATGCATGGAATGAACTTTTAGTAATAGTAGTTTTAGTGACAAAGTTGTAATTATGGGTGATCAAATTATTAAAAAGTGTGAACGCTTTAAATATCTCGGGTCTATTTTTCAAAGTAATGGTGTTCTAGATGGGGATGTTATTAGTAGAATTCAAGTTGGTTGGTTGAAGTGGAGGAATGTTCTGGGTCTATTTTGTGATAGACTAGTACCACTTAAACTGAAATGAAAACTTTATAAGATGGTGAAACCTGCAATGCACTATGACGTTGATAGTTGGCATTTAAAGGTGAAGCATAAAATTTAGTGTTGCTGAGATGAGAGTGCTTAGGTGGATGAGTGTCTTTACAGTTAAAGAAAAAAATGCTAAATGAATGTATCCGTGATGGTTA